GCGCGCGCGCGCGCGCGCGCGTGCGTGTGCGCGTGCGTGCGTGCTTTTCATGACTATTCACGGCAGCTAAGCTCTATGAGAAGCAGACGGAAATGGCATTCCCAGGGTGCTTGACAACACACCCGCGCCCGCTTTTCTGCACCCGACTCATTCTACACGGCGATGTTCCAGAAATTTACTGACTGATACAAGGACAGACGGAGCAACAACAGTACGTACACGTAGACTGACAACGAACATGCTCACCGCAGACCCTATTCATTTACAGTACCCCTCGGTAGCCGTAGCAGTCCTGAGAGCGAGAAGATGCCATCTCAGCAAATGCCGGCTGTTCTTGATGAAGATCCCTGATTAATTGCACGGTCTTTCCAGTTTCGTAGATGAAGGATATCCGAATATGAACGCCCCTGCAGCAAACAGGTATTTGTTATTGACACGGGGTCCACATTCCGTGATGATAGCAGTGTTGATGAGAATGGGAAAAAGAGTAATGCTGGAAATAGCAACAGTACTGTACTAGTAGGAGTAATGGCGGCAGCAGCAGCAGCAGCAGCAGCAGCAGCGGCAGCAGCAGCGGCAGCAGCAGCACAAGCAGCGGCAGCAGTAGTAGCAGCAGAGATAGTAGTAGAAGAAGTAATGCAATATTAGTATTTGTTAACACTATCACTATCATCATTATTGTGGTTGATACTTACTAGTGCAATGCAAGTAGTTGTTATGAAGTAGTCATTATGCCCATCATTATAGATTCTAGCTGTAGTAGTCATAGCCCATGGGAGCGACCAGACTTCCAGCACCCGTCAGTGGCGAGCCTGGTCCTCGAGCTTGCGAGCCTTGTGCGACAAAAACCGTTGATTTCGTTGCTGTGCAGGTTTTGGAGTTCAGGGTGCTTCTAGATATGTTGTCGATAATATACACGTGTACATGATTTCAAAGACAACTCCGTAGTTAATTGAGATTCAAGGAGTTTACGGCCTTTGAGGGGTCATGGAGGTCCAGCAAGGATTGATTGCAAGACCGTCTGGCATGGGGATGTTCAGGCAGTATATAGAGACCTTTCCCCTACCCACAAGCGCCTGGTCTCGGAGAGAGTCCACCTCCCGCTCCTGCAGCTTTTCAGCATCACAAGCAGCGTGGATCAGCGCGGCAGATTGGCGGGGAACATATCCCGCCTTCTTGCGAAGCTCGTTTTCTCGGTCTCGGACCTCTTGGGTCTTCTGCTCGAGCTCCTGTGGCTGCAACTGGCTGCCGCAGGCTGCCGCAGGCCGCATGCTTGGGACCCGAAGCCCTCTCCTGGTCACGTTTGGCGCTCTGCGCCTCGCAAGCTGAGTCAAGAATCTTCCTGCGTCTCCGCTTCGAGTCCGGCCTCGAAGGCACTGCGCTCGCTTCGCAGCTTTCCTTCCAAGTTCCGCGCGGCCTGGCAAGTGTGGAACATTGTGGAACACTCAGGGTCGGAAAGGTTTCAGACCCTCTATCTGACAGACGACCTGTCTGTACTTTTTCCTCTGCAGTCGCTGTGATGCACTGCAAAACTCTGCGCCCCACTCACTTCAAGCATCGTTGGCATGGGGACACAGACCACGAAGCGACTGCACACATGCAGCCGCTGCAAAACCGCCAGCGTGGCGATCATGAACTGATCATGAATTACCCATATATAATTAACAGGTCTCGTTTTGGCCTGGGACATGCGACAAGAGCTCGGGTGGCACGGACAACAGCCGAGACCAGAGCAGTACTGTACGTGAAAGCGTCACACGTCCTAGCTTGGCAAGACCAGCTGGAGGACTCCCAGCTCAAGGGCCGATCTTTGTGCTCAATCCTGACAGCTCCGAATGGAGTCCAACACGATCTTTGAAAGACCTACAATCAAGCTAGGCCTAAGCGCAAGTCCTCAAAGCTCGACCGCCCAGCCCTCAAGCGCCGCAGGCGCCAAAGAGGTTGCAACCCGAAGTCGGCTCGGCAGCCGTGATCTCCACATCCAGGCCCTGCTCCTCGCCGTGCAGCGTTTCTGTGCTACGGGTACTCATGTATGGCATTTCTGCTTGTAATCAGTATGGCTCCATATGGCTCCTACTGCGGGGGCTTGGAGTTGCTGTCGAACGAGGTCCCATGAAAGGAAAGCATTGTCGCCACGGCTTCGCTGCAGAAGCTCGTTCAAACTCGTTGGATGTGTCACAGAGAAAACGTGATCTCAAGTTAAGATGTTGCGATGATCCCCAACCTTTTGTTGCGTCACCGTCCACACAAAATCGCTCTCGAAGCGCCCAAAAGGGTCAGAATGCCAAGAAAAATGCCCCGCATGGGGTGTTCCTATCGGATTCTCCATACAAACAAGCTTTGTCTGACCCTTGGCTCCGCACACATTCAATGTCACACGTCTGTGCAAATCTGTACTCGTACTGCTACCTCCCACTGACACTACCACTACTGTTGCTGATACCTATAAATGATCTTGCTAGAATTACTATTATCATATTTATGGTGCTGCTGCCGCTACTACTACTACT